AAAAATAATAATTATATTACTAGAACATTTTATATAAGACGGGGGTAGGATCATGGAGGTGTCTCACAAACAAGAATCATGAAAAAAGAACAACATGTCTTCACAGACAATGATGAATGATTAATTAGGACTTCACAGACACAAAGGAACCGTTTATACATACTTCACTGACACAGAGGAAGCATTCATATATACTTCACAGACAACATGTTACACTTCACACATATGATACTTAATACGGAGTACAACATAGGGGGGAAATACACTGGGAACCTTAGATTTTGAATGACAAAATTGCTTCTGCAATATTTTGCCCAAAAATAGCAAACTGATAAATCAATTTGGACAAAAATTAGTATTTTGATAAATGAATTGACCGAAAAGCAATGATAACCCTAGATTTTGAACAACTTACCTTTCGAATTTGAATAACTTGTGGAGGGCTGATTTTTTTGTCGAGGGAGAGCCCAGGCGAAGACGATGACGATGTTGACGAGGGAGGAGCTGTGAAGACGGTGAAGAAGACAGGGGGGGTAGAGAGAAGAGGGAGACGTATTGGAGTGGGGGATTGACTGAAAAGGTAGGGGGTGGGGTGAGCTTTTATATGGTGTACATATGAATTATTATTAAGAGATTTTACTTACACTGCAGGTGTCACCAATGATGTGGTGTTTGGTCACGCCGACAGAAATCCCGACATCGAGAGATAAGCATCACTTTTAAGGCCAACACATGAATAAATACGTAAGAAAACTCTAATTATATATATATATATATATATATATATATATATATATATATATATATATATATATATATCATCATTGCTCATGTTTGAAGTGGTATGTTGTAAATTTAGATGTATAATGTTATTATATATTTGTCATATATAAATACCTTTTTAAGTCATTGAAAAAAACTAGAAGGAATTGAAAGGAGTTGAAAAAAATTAAAAAATAATTTTTCCATCCAAAAGAACATGGCCTAGATTGAGAATTGGGGGGTTGGCCGTTGGGTAGAGAGAGGTATGTGGTTGGGGGAAATAAGATTTAATTATATAAGGAATTAAGGATAAAAGGGATGTTTTCTTTATTAAATGCCAAACCAGAAAAAATGCATGAGAACAAAGAAAAAGGAGAGCATCGCAACTTGTATAAAAATGTTGTGATACCTCCTCATGAATGGTATAGTTTTTGTTTGTTGGCCAAAAGTAAAAGAGAATCATCACAATATAATCTTCACTAAGAAGCATGGGAACACAGCTACATAAGACAACATTCACTTAGGAAACATGTCACGTGTTTCTTAGATTTCCTGCGGAGAAAGAAGCTTGCAACTAACAAAACTGTAGGGGGGGAGAGAGAGACAGTGAAGAGTATAATGAAGCAAGTAGATCCACAAAAAGACTGGCAAAAAAGGGGCTGCCTATATAGTACTCTAAAAGCTCTCCTCCTACAAAGTCAAAGCCACCCACTGTGTTTAATTAATAGTCAAACCTCCATTTCTAGCTAGTGATGGTGCTTCTTTGATGAAGATGAAGACTTGGAATGGTAATGGTCATCAGAAACAGCATCATCTCTACCCCTCTTCTGAACTGCTGTTGGGTGGTGGGATGGATGAGCCGCCTCTTGCACTTCACCGTCACCATCTTCGTCGTCCTCAACTCCGCCGCTTCCGCCGCCTCCATCTAACTCATCATGCTCCCTGTTTCCTCCTCTTCCTCCACCTCCCTCCTCTTCCTCCTCCATATCACTCTCTTCCCCATCAGCAACCTCCACCTGCCCCACACGTTCACCTGCTTCGTCTTCTGCATCTGTGTCTTCCCCTTCCTGCATGCATATCACCACACAAGATATGGTTCAAACTTCAAACACAGCAAGGAATGTAGGGTAGGGGAGGGGCTGCTAGGAAGTGAATTTGTTAATGGCTGAGGACCAAAATTTTCATATCTTCCAAGTGTTCACAAGTTATGGCGGTTGTGTCGAAAATCACCATGCCATAGAGCAGTTTAGCAACTCCGGTTACAGCTATTATAACTATAGGAGTAATAGTACATAAATGATGCACTATTTAGAAACTCGTTTATATGAATTGCAATCAATATTCTACAAATAAAAACACAGCGGCTACATTTTGGCAAAATGCCTAAATGTATTGAAAGTTGATAATTGAACACATTAGATCATTTGAACCACACTTTAAGCAAATTCTACGCATTAAACCATCACAAAACCCAATAATTTTAACAGTTACCAAACAGGCCCAAACACTCAAATACTCAGTACACGCTCCAACATATACCAGCTAAAGAACTAAGGGAAAGAACTCATTCTGAGTGTTTTAGAAAAGATAAAAATTATGTTTTTTGCTTATTTGAGAAACTTTCACAACTTTGGTGTTTGGTAAGCAAATTAAATTCTTTATTATTACTAATTCAAAGTCACCTAAACCTCAAGAAAATAAATTTTTTAATTAGGAAGGTTTTAAAAAAAAATCCTTCCTTAAATCTCATAAGCCAAAGACTAGTAGCTATATGCTTATTGGCTTTGGATATTTAAAAAAAACACTCACATCACAAAGTACTGCTTGAACAACCAAATTTTAGGATATCCAAAATACTTTTTAAAAAGATGTAAATGGGCAGGATACTTACTTCCTCTCTTCATTAAAGGATGTCACCTTGGCGAACTATTTTTGTTACTAACTAGGGACATCCTTGATTAAAGATTTTTCATCATGACTAACCACATTCAGGAAATACTACTAGGCTAAACCAAATCAGGCACCAACGGACTAGGACAGTATCCCCTAAACATACAAAGGCAATTTTGATATGAATCTAGAAGATAAACAAATTACGCATCTATACATGTAATAACCATACATGTGTGTTATATATAATTAATACGCACATAAGTATCCTACCCATTAACACCAATCCCTGCTTTCAAGTAGGGGTGAAGTTTGCGTACCCACACCCTACTTTTGTTAGGGATGTAACACCAAATATTCTATTGTTACCCAAAAGAGAGATGAATGGTTGCTCAAATCTAGTACTCTGTATTCCTTGTAATGTTATCTTGAACCTTCAATGAGAGGTTGCAAACAAAGCCAGGCCAGATATAGATATACCTAGTATATACCACTCGAGTGTAGAGTCTAGAGGGGCAAGATGAACACGTCTTACCTAGTTACCTCTACCCAAATTACTAGAGTCTCTCTTAGATAAACACCTCATAAAAGAGTTACCCATGGTGTGAAAAAAATACCCAATTACTAATTAGAAGTGCATGAGACTGATCATGCATTGAAGGATGTGGTAGTTGGAATCCTTTTACTCTCAGGTTCATACACACTATAAGGGTTCTAAGCTAAAAAATCAAAACCAGCCAGAACCAACACAAGAATTGTTAGAAAGCTATATCTACCCACCTGCCACAACTTTAGGTACTTTCATGGGACAATTAGTTGGTACAAATAATTTAACCTATGAGACACAGAAATTTTGGTGTAGTTTACCTAATGATCAAGTGAGAATCTAAAAGCACCATATTCAACACGATAGATATACATTATAAATCTTCATGCTGCAGAGAACATAAAATAGCAATAAAATCAACTATTAAAATGGTGAAAGAGAATCACCTCATCTTCAGAATTGTCCTCCGCTTGCTGCTCTTCTGCGCCAGAATCTCCATCGACATTGACACCATCATCATCTTCCCCCTCCTCATGTGCATCAATTTCAATTGACCTCCCAGAACTTCCGGGCTCCCGATCATCATCCACTTCCTCCCCGCCCACTTCACCATCGCCTCCATCGTCTACCCCATCCTCGTTGCTATCATCAGTCTCATAAACCTCAGACGGGGAATCATCATCATCATCATCATCACCATCTACTTCATCATCTGAAACACCATCTTCCTCGCTTTCATCGTCTCCTGCTAAGGCCATTCTAAATCCATTGGACTGCATACGCGGTTTCAATCCATTAACACCTCTAGAGGTCTCCGCCACCTCCTCTTCAGCATCACTCTCTTCCTCGTCCACATCAACCACCCCATCATTCCCAGCTTTGACCCCATTGCTCGCCCTGTGCGGCCTATCTTCGCCTTCAACTTCGCCACTCCCTGGATCGTCATCATCCTCGTCCTCTACCACGTGCCTCGCATCTTCATCTGCATCCATCTTATCCAGGCACTATTATAACCGATTGAGAACGGAAAATCCCTATCTAGATCGGGGAATTCTACCCCTTCTCAGTCCACACGAAGATCGTTCATACCATGAATCAATTGGTTAGACGAATCGAGGATTGGGCCGGTCTCCCACCAGGAATCCAGACGCCGATCGAACCAACTTTCGCAGGTTATGAGGCCGGCGAATCTCTCTGTCTCTCTAGAAAGTTCGTAGGTAGGGCAAGTTGAGTCCAAAGGAAGGGGACTAGGAGGAAGATCTTCGTCGTTTACGTTTGATTGTTTGAACACCGTATTGCACCGTTGGATGTAAGCAATAGATCGATGGCGTGGATAGATGCACGACGAATGTACACTAGAGGTTGCAAACGTGTGTTAATTAAATGAAAAATGGTAAGGGTACACTTTTAGTGTACCCCATTTGTCTCTCACCCCCTCCATTATCACAAAAATGGGTAAAAAATTTAAATAAAATTAAATAAATTAAAAAAGAGTTAAAATGAATGGTGGAGAAAGGGGTGGGGGACAAATGAGGTAGATGTTTGGTGTACCCCTAACATGGCTCCAATTAAATTTTGAAAGATTATTCTCTCCGTTCCACAAAATATTTATGATTTTGACTTTTAAAATACTTAAAGAGAGTATATTTTAATGTTGATTTTTTAAAAATGACTTTGAATGTGATGGGTAAAGTAGATGTGATAGATATATTAATAGTGAAAAATGTTATGTGATAGCTAGATTAAGAATTAGTAGCGATACAAGTGACTTTTAAATAGAAATAAGAAAACATTTTGAGATGAATGAAAGAAAAAAGATTTTGTGGGACGGTGGTAATATTAAATTAAAAGATTTTGAGATTTTGCGGTATGCGGAGTATTCTCTAACTTCAACCGTTGTTGTCAAATTGTTTTAAACAATGTTTGGAAATTAGTATTTCATTTCAATTGATGCATTCGAATTTCAAAATTTGAAATATTGAATTTCAAATGATAAGGGAAGGTGTATGAATTTTAAATTAAGTTTTGTTATGAATGAGAACAATTTGTCCCGGGTAACATGGGTTTTCCCCAATTTAGTCCTCCATAAAGAGTAATGAATAAGATGGTCCTCTATAATTAGGTTTTTTTCTTAGATCGGTCCTTTTCCAAACTTCCGTTAATGTACTGTCAAACTTGTAGATAAGTTTGTAATTTCCCTTACCCCTCCCATAACCTTTCATTTACTGTACCTTTGAGGAAAATCCTTGATGAATCCCCATCTTGACCCAACTTTTCATTAAGCTTGAATGTTACTTTCAATCCTCCTAAGTTACAATACTTATACAAAAACCAAGGATTCGCAGTAAAAAAAACTTCAAAGGAGTGTTCACTTATAGCTGCAAATGGATTTTTTCAGGAAACATGGGAAAAAATCAATAGAAAATAAACAGTCAACACTTTTCGAACATACACGCAGGCTTTAACCCTAGTAAATATGCACAATGTTCCAAAGCGCTAAAAAAAACCTTCAATTGAACAGATGGTATTTCAGCACCGAAGATTGAAGGCTTCCCTCTCTTCGTTTTTGGCCGGCCGTGCTCTTCAAAATGGGCGATTGAGTACCCACTTTGGATTTCAAAATTCTCTCTTCTTCAAAGTATACTTTGTTCAATGTTTGGTTTAATTGGTACTGTACATTAAAGTTAGGTGAAAGGGGTAAGGGAAGTACCCCGTATAAAACAATCTAGATAGAGGTTAGGTGAAAAACTTAAAATTAGGGAGTATAAAACAATCCACATACTCCCTATTTAACAAAGATTGACGGCACTTTGGAAAAGGACCTGTCCCGAGGAAGAAACCCAATTATAGAGGACCTTTTTATTCATTACTCTTCATGGAGGACTAAATTGAGAAAAACCAATGTTACTGAGGACTAATTTGAGAATTTACTCTTAAATTTTTTAAGTTTTCTGAACATGAAATTTTGAGCCAAATCTAAATTTGAAATCCAAATTTATTTTCCCAACATACTATTTAATTCTTCTAAAACATATGAAGTAGTCTTCTTTTTTGGAAATAGCCTAAATGTTTTTCTTGCTTAAAATATTACTCCCTCCGTCCGGGAATGTTCTTCCCGTGTTGACTTGGCACGCTTATGAAAGAATAGTAAAACAAATGCAAAATTTTCAAAAATGCACATACTATAAACTTTTAAAGAGTAGATTTGTGATAAAATAGAAGGGTATTATTGATATTTAGCCTTAAAAAGCATACTAAAAAAGGAAATGGAAAGATTATTTCCGGACGGACCAAAAAGGAAAATGGGAAGAATATTTCCAGACGGAGGAAGTACTCTATATTTAATTAATTAAACGGTCGTTTGGTTTATTTTGAAGATATGATACTCCTTCGTCCCCGAAAGTTCACTTATTGACTTTTTGGGAAATTAAGAGAGAGATATTTTGGTGTTCACTTTCTAAAAATACTTTTGATAGATAAAAGTAAGACGTGATTGATAGATTATTAGTAAAAAAAAATGATATGATAGGTAAGGTATGAAAAAGTAAGTGATAAAAGTGGTTTTTTAGTAGAAAATGGAAGAGATTATAGGACAAAGAAAAAACGAAAGTGGAACATCTTTCAGGGACGGATGGAGTATGAGTGTACTCCCTTTTTCAAGCTCTTTTAATACCTCTTCTCTGAGCATAATTATGACAACGATTCTATTCACGAATTCATTTCTTTCAGTGCTCATATGATATACTTAGGGCTGTAAACGGATAACCGAAAATTCGATTACCGTCCGCATCCGTATCCGTTTATATGGAAAATATCCGCATCCGTTAAAAGCGGTTATTATCCGTATCCGATTAAGGATATTCGATTGCTAAACGGATACGGATTTGGTAATCATACATCCGATCCGTTTATAATCCGCTCCGCATTGACATCCGTTTAAATACCCGTTTATCCGTATATCCGATCCGTTATATATAGTCTTTCCTAATTTTTTATTTTTACATTTTGTTTCTCTATAGATATCNAATTCGATATCCGACAAAAATAAACGGATGCGGATTTGGTAATGGCACATCCGATCCGATTAAAATCCGTTTACACCCCTAGATATACTCCCTCCGTCCCTGAGTGTTTGTCCACTTTCATTTTTGCACACCATCCAATGCACTTCTATAATTCATTTTATCTTGTAATTTGTATATTAAAAAATTATAAAAATTATATATTAATAATCTATATGTTAAGACGAATCAAACAAGATCACACATGACTATTTTTAGGCTTACACATTGAGAGAATTTGATGAGTCAAAGTGCTTAGATGAACAGTTCCAAAAGTCAAAAGTGGACAAACACTCAGGGACGGACCAAATATTTGATTATTGAAATATCCAAAGGCAATGTGAAAGATCGGGACGCCAAATTACGTCTTTGGTATTTTTGTAATAGAGATCAAGACCTTGCTTTTCAGTTTACCCTTAACTCTACAAATTTGGTCGTCAAATTGTACATTCTTCTCGAAACATATGGGTTGCCTATATCCTTGCACACACTATACACTCTTCTCTGAACATATATAGCGGAGCGGATTGGTTCCACAGAGTTTGTTTTGACTATTTTCAATTTACCCTTAATGTCCTCAGACTCTACATTCTTCTCTAAACATAAGGGTTGCTATATACTTGCACAAATTGTATATTCTTCTCTGAACATATAGGAGAGTGGATTGGTTCCACCGAGCTCCTTGCGACTAAGAGCATCATTAGTTTTTTTCCACATCATCAATTTTTATGAGACATCATTTTTTTTACTTTTCTCATCCAAGGGTAATAATGTCTTGTTTTTTTATCTTTATTTATTGATTTTTATTTTATTTCCAATCATACAAATTTAATGTGTCATTTTTCACCCAAGAAAAAATTTCTATATGTCTCCAAGAGCATTTTATTTCTTTTCTAACCATACTAACTCACTTTTCCCTACCCTCTCTAACCATTCTCTTTTGCCATATAAGCTTTTCTCCTCCTCTCTTAAATTTTCCGTCTGATCATGTCTGAAGAGGTCTCGGGGATGGGCTCATCTTCTAACATTAAGCTTTAAAGAATATTCTACACTCTTCCTACTATAAATAGTGGTAAAACTCTCTTCCAAGCTTACGTCTACCTTTTGGTTTTTACCGCACCCACCCTCCCAAAAAAAAAAAGACCTAGCTAAAACAACCATGGCAATAACAAAGCTGTTCAAGCTTAAAATATCAAGAATCATCATCACTTCCCTCCACTCTTGCAATTCCAAACACGCCACTTCCACTCTCCCACCGGCACAACAACACCATCCAAACACCCGCCGCTCCTCCGCCGCCGCCAACTCCAAACGCCGTCACGTTCCGTCTTCAGCCTTCACATCCGTCATCGGATGTGGGCTCTCTGGCGGTTCGCCCCCTCCATCACGGCCGCCACAAGAGTTCCGGTGGCGGAAAGAGGAGAAATGGCACGTGGTGTTTCCTCCGTCTCCGCCGCCGGCCAAGGCGGCAAGAAAGAAACGCCGGCCAAGAAAGAAGGTGCCGGCCGCCGCGGCGACTTCGTTTCGAACCAGCACGTCCTCGGCGGGGCCGGAAAGCGCGACAGAGTCGTCTTCGTCGGAGAGGTGCAAGAAACGCCGCAGCTCCTCATCTTCCACGCCGTCACGGAGGCGGTCGTCGTCGGGATCCTCGGAGGGCGATGTGGCGGCGGCGGCGAGGCTGTCGGCGTTCAAGAAGCTGATCCCGTGCGGGGTGGAGGGGAAAGTGAAGGAGAGCTTCGCGGTGGTGAAGAAATCGCGGGACCCACAGGAGGACTTCAGGCGGTCGATGATGGAGATGATAGTGGAGAGGGAGATGTCGGAGAAGAAAGATCTGGAACAGCTTCTCGAGTGTTTCCTGTCGTTGAATGCCCGGCACTATCATGGTTTCATTGTCGGAGCTTTCTCCCAGATTTGGGAAGATCTGTTTATTAGTTAATTAGTTAGTTAATTAGTTGTTTCATTTGGAGGACCGATTAATTAATTAGTGTTCCAATTAACCTCCTAGATAGCTAGATGTAGCCTGTGTGTAGGAGTTAATAAGCTAGCTACGTGCGGTACGGCGGAGGAGGCCCATGGCCGGCGGACACGGCGGTCATGTCGATTAACCTGCTCCTATAAGTTGACTAAATATTTGTAGGACACGACGACCTAAGCTACTCGTGCTTTGTTTCTTGGACTAAATACTCATAACTCACCTTCATGTCCATTTAATCGACGAAGCCTAGGTTGCCTAACTGGTTGTAGACTTGTAGGTTGATTTTTCTTATACTCACCGAGATTATACTCCTTCGTCCCTAAATATTCACCACATTTGCTTTTTCAGCAGTTGCGGGAACTTTTGTTTATTTCGACATTTTCATTAGTTATTTGATAAAATAAAATATTCTTGACACCTCTTATTTCGAAAAACTTTTCATGTAGTTTTTTTATATGTAAATTTTATTTTTTATTTCTATACCAATATGTAAATAAAATGAATTGAAAAAACTTGATATTTTGCCTCGGGAATACAAATGTGGCAAATAATTTGGGACGGAGGAAGTATGTTTCGTATAGTTGCTTACAAACAATCAAGAATCAAACGCGAAACTTATTTTTTACTCCCTCCGTCCACAAATAAACTTTACATTGCGCATTACGATGTTTGACTGAAGTTATTTTCAAATCATTTTATATGAAAAATGGTGTAGAATTGAAAAATAAAAGTTACATATTAAAAAACTACTAGTATTCCTACCTGTGCAATGCACGGGTTCGGAGGAATATCTTGTCGATTCTGAATTAATTTAATGCAATATTTTTTTCCAGAATAAAGGAAATATACCTCATGCATGATTTATAATATCACAGAAAAGAAAGGCAAAGTAAAAGAATATTATTTGAGGAATTGAATCTACACACAACAAAGTTTGCTTTAATACCAAATTTTTTGAAAGATTTCAGGGTATACAACATTTTTTGTATGGCTGCAAGGATTTCCATTGTCATCTAAGACTAATATTTTTAATCCTGTCTTTGTCTTCACTCGCGAAACAGCAACATAAAGCTGACCATGAGTAAACACTGAATTGGTTAAAAATAATCCAACAAATGACAATGTTTGACCTTGACTTTTGTTAATAGTCATAGCAAAACATAAGACTATTGGAAGTTGTCTTCTCTGGACTTTAGAGGTAGTCCTGGATCAGACGGTACCAAATTCATCCGGGGTAGGTAACTTTTTCGCCCATTCGATTTCCCGAAACCACAATAGCACCAATAACATTCTTTCGCATCTCGTCAACAATTAATCTTGTACCATTACACAATTCAGACGTTTGGTCAATGTTCCTCAGTAACATAATTGGTACTCTTTTTTTAAAACTATCCTGTGGTTTGGGATTCCCGAACATTTGATTTCATTCAAAAACTCAACTGTTATCCAGTCGTCATCAACACCTACATCTGAATCTGCTTGGCATGATGAATCAGAACTCAAGTACACCATTTCATCTCTGGGAATGAGGAATAAGACAAATTTATTTACCATTTTTACAACTTCGAGTGTGGGTGCTATTAGTGCCCTGTCTTCAAAAAAAGAATAACTTCTCATATTCTCCAATAAGTTCGGATAAGTAAAGTCCACTATACTTTTGAGGGGTGAGCTATTATCTATAATCAAAAATTCGAGAGGAATTTCAACATCAGCAATTCCATCAATTACTTTTCCAAGCTTTCCATCTCCAACTTTTATTATCCAATTAGAAAAATCTTGTGTGTCTCTATCTATGCAAGAGGACGTTGATGAATGCAATCTCATATTCTTCGTCAACTTAAAAACTTTACAATAAGACCACAAATTTGAAGAGTTAATGGTAGCACCTACAATTTCCTCTCTCGAAGCTCTAGGTAAAACAGGAAGAATTTTTCCGAAATCACCTCCGAGTACAACCGTTTTCCCTCCAAATGGTTCATTTATTTAGTTTGGATTAGAGAACTTCAATAGATCTCTCATCGTGCGATCCAATGCCTCAAAAGCAAATCTATTCATCATACATGCTTCATCCCATATGATTAAACTTGCCTGTTGAATTAGTTCTGCTTTTGGGCTCCCTTGTTTGATGGCACACGTTGAACACTCTGTTAGCACCAAATGAATTGAAAATCTGGAGTGTGTTGTCCTTCCCCCAGGCAAAAGCAATGCTGCAATCCCACTGGATGCGACATTCAAGATAACTTTACTACTTGATCTTAGAGAAGCAGACAATGATTTCCAAAGAAATGTTTTTCCAGTTCCACCACAACCATACACAAAAAAGAATATAATCCTCCTTTTCCAGCAGTCACAACTTCCATTATTTCATCGTATATCTTTCGCTGATCTTCATTCATCGTAGATAAGTATCACATAAGATCAGATCACAACTTTTCTTTATCATAGTTCAAATCCTCAACCAATAAATTGTTTTGAAATGTATTGAGTGGACTGTCATCTGGAAATGGCATACAACTAAATTCCCTCAAAAACCGTCCATTTGAATTAAGCAACTATTCAATCTCAATCAGACATAAATTCTTTAGGTCTTCTTGAGAAATTATAAGCTCTGAAAAAAAGAAATAGAAATAATGGAACTTATTTAATTCTACAAAGTTCTGAATAAAAATGGTAGGTTTCAAGACAATGCATTATGTACGGATTAATATGTTAAAAAATTGTTTCTCTATTGATATACCTTGATTACGCAATAGTCTCCTTCGATAAAATAAAATTACATCCACCAGGCGTTCCCATGATTTTTCCCAAACAACTTGCGGGCGACTCATAGTATTTATCACTAATAATGTGATGAAAAACTTTCTAAGCTGATTCCCAGAACCTAACTCAGCAGCTTCTTTTATACCTTCAATAAATTCCTTATCATCAGCAAGTACCCCCAATGCATCGCATGCCTCCTCGAATGAGTTATACAGAACATTGTTAACTGTCTTCATAATTTCATAACTTGTACACCCCCGCTGGACAGTTAATAGTATTCTCAAGTAGTATAACTCTCCGGTTCCTACAGGCATATATTGTAAGCGTCCTATTGATGGTCTTTGTTTCCTCGAATGCCATTCTCGCTCCTTGTTATTGAACACAAAATGTCCTAGAAATTCTGCATACGTTAAATTTTCCCCCGCTTTGTACTTTGAATTGGCAATCATCCAAGCCTCAAACATTGAAGGCTTGTAAAGATTTTGTCTGGCAACATCTGTCAATTTTTGTTGCTCCTTAAAAGTGACAAATTTCTGTCCTGGGAGATGGAAATTCAACCTCAATACTGCTGGCCATCTGTGGTGTATATCAAAAGAGAGGATTCTCCAAGATGCTTCACACCATAAAAATTAAACAGGAGGCTATAAAAATTAAACTCCACACCATAAAATATGTTCAAAAACAGGAGGCTATAAATCTAAAATTAAGGTATGAAAAATAAGGACAGACTCAAGTCGTCAATACTTTAATAAAAAATATGCTTTTTATGGTGCTAAAAATAGAAGATTCAAGGACAGCAGACTTATTACACCTTAAGAATGGCGAAGTTATTATTACATAAATTATAAGAATTCCTTCTTAGGCACTATTAAAAAAAATTTAGTCTCATGGTTTTAGGCACTGGAGAAACTTCAACATGAATAAGCACTAAAAAAACTGAACAGACTATAATGTGTTTTGTTTTTTCAATACTTTGAATATGGAGAAACTTCAAGAGACTAAAAACTAAACTCTACACCATAAAATATGTTCAAAAACAGCAGACTATAAATCTGAAAATAAGGGCAGGCTCAACTCTTCAGTACTTTTATAAAAAAAATTATTTTTTATGGTGCTAAAAATAGAAGCTTCAAGGAAAGCAGACTCATTATACTTTAAGAACAGCAGACTTATCATTCTTCATTTATTTATTCAATATGGACAATTGAAGAATTTTTGTTTTTTATACAGATTAGTATAATTGTGTTTTGAAAGTAAAAACAAAATAACCTTCCAGCCACTAAAAAATTATAAGAAATCCCATTAAACATAAATTTTATATAATATGCAAAATATGAATAAGAGTACAATTCTTACATGTTCGTCCATGAATATCATCTCAATAGAATTCGTCATCTTCTCATCATTATACACTGGTATCTTGTACAGTCGAATCACACGAACCAAAACTCTCTACATTCACTTGATGGATTGATTTTCAACAAAGGGTGGATCGGTTTGGAAGACATGTCGATTAATCAGAGGTTTTAGGTATGAACGCGGCTTACGATGAAAAAATAAGTTGATGAAATGGCTTACTTAAAATTTGATTTATATATGACCTAATATAAATCACAAAAAGGAAACTTACAACAATAAGGTAGAAATTCCAGAGATTTAAACCGGAAAATTCAAAAGAAGAACAAATTTCACAGAGACTAATCATCATAAGAAGGAAAGAAGGTCAATCATCCCAAAAACAATTATGATTTTTTAAGAAAAGGGAAAGTTACCTGTTCCTGGTACCGATCGTTGGAATCTCCGTGAAGAAGGACCGTGAAGAAGGAAAGAGATTAATTTTAATCACATATTCTCTTAAATCTCGCGGTGGAGCCATTAGAAGATGAATATCGCAGGGAGGTGCAATCAAAGGAAAGTGCCACTGATGTTTAGCTTCATTCACACTTGTGGATGAATTCCACACAGAGTAGCCCAAATAAAAGAAGTCCAAAGTAATAAATCATTTTCCAACCCGTTTGAAATATTGCGTAAGTCCAAAATGATGACATGGCTTATGGCTTATAATGTGTCAAAAAAATCCTCGTCAGCATGACAAATGTCAAAATTCTAGAAGTTAAACTCCCAAATATAATATATAAAGGATATCAAAAAATCTACAAAACTAGAGGTGTCATGACTATATTATTTTATCAAATGGGTGACGAAAATAGGCCAATAAAATGAATAAAGTTTGACTCTGTGAATAGTGAACGTAAAGTTTATTTGTGGACGGAGGAAGTATTTTCTTTACTATCTTTTCCTAATGAGCTGAGATTTTTTG